TTTTAGCAACTATCTATATGGGGTTAATGACAACAGCAACTCAAAAGATTAAATAGGAATCTTGAAGGACAGTGATTCTATGTTAATTAAGGAAGAAGAACAGAGAAAAGGAGGTGAGAATGGTTGCACAACTGGAAGAATGTAATCAATGTCATTGAATTGTATATGTAGAAACTGTTGAACTGGTATATGTTTTGCTGTGTATATTCTTAACAACAACAACAAAATAAATAAGATGTGTTATTGTTGTTATGTGCCATCGAGTCGGGTTTTCGAGGCGGTATCACTACGGAAGTAGATTGCCCAATCTTCCTTCTGAAGAGTGGCTGGTGGGTTTGAACCGCCAGCCCTCTGATTAGCAGTCAAGTGCCTTAGGCACTACGCTACCACAGCTCCCAAATAAGATGTGGGGGAAAAAAAAGTAACAAATATCACTAAACAACCTGTATAGAAATTATTGAATAGCAGCCTACACTGCTGTGTAAACCCTCACTAAAACACAACAAAAAACTACTTAAGAAAAAAAATGAAAAGTATCTTGTAAGCTTTGAAAATTTTTTATGAGCCCAAATAAGATACACGATTTTTGGTATATATCACTTTGCATCCAAACTTAACTTTTGTATACTGTGGTGTATGACACTGTTACTTGGAGAAAGATTTTCCTTTGTTCCACAGCTGCCTTCCTTATACCTTTGACTCTAAAATGGAGTAACAGGAATTCATATTAAACACTATTTGAGATAGAAAATATTCAGCTTTGTATTTTGTAAATCAATACAATTGTTCTTCACGTGTACCTTGCTAAAATGAATGGAATTACAATTTTTAATTTCTAAAACAATCCAGCTTGAATTGTAGAGAATGAGAAAGCAATGCTGAAACTCTAGAAATTATTTCCTCTGACAAAATAAAGCTTAAATGCATTGATCAGTTAGGTTACACCTTATTGTTGTTACTAGGTGCAATCCAGTTACCTCCGACTCATAGTGACCCTACGTACAGCAGAACAAAACACTGCCAGCTCCACAATCCTTACTATACCCGAGCCCATCATTGTAGCTACTGTGTAAATCCACCTTGTTGAGGGCTTTTCCCTCTTTCATTGACCCTCCACTTTACCAAGCATGATATCATTCTCCAGGGAATGGTCCCTTCTGACAACATGACCAAAGTAGATGAGACAAAGTTGGGCCACTTTCGCTTCCAAGATGCAT